CATAGAAGTTTTTAAACAACTTGCTTTGGCTTTATATTTTAGGTTTCCTTATAAGAATCAATGTTGACTGAGCCTTAGATGAATTATTACAACAATAAGTTCTGAGTTACTCAACATTTCTTGATTAGTCATGCAGACACTCCCCATCAAAGTTAGTCAGAATGAAATCATCAAAACAAATTCCATGCAACCTCAAAACAAGAAAGAGCACATCACTAAGTTCTGGATGTTTGTTGTTGCCAAGATGTCTTCTATTCCTGTACTGATCTTTATATTTCTGATTCTGCTCAACTATCACCTCAAATTTGAGCATTGTGGAAAGCATGACGGGAGGCTCTCTGGGCTTCCAGCCAGGACCACATAATCACACAGCGCCCTTAACTCAATTCTTAAACAGATTACCTTGAGGCTTTACAAAATTGAGCAAGGCAAAAGTTTTGTTGATAACCAGCACTAGAAAGAGAACAAAACGTTAATCAAAACAATTTTCCTTTTGACAAGATGGGACGACTTGGCAGAATACACTTCAAGACCTAATAAAATGTGAAGTCGACCCGAATAAGGTTATAGAATAAAAAAGCTTCAGTCTTGTCTATAGCATACAAGGCTGTTCAAGATTCTATGGAATTCCAGATGGGTTACCAAGGACAATGGCAGAAACATAAATGGATGATAAAGCCAGAAAAGTACAAAATAAAGAGACTTCAAAAAGATAAGTAAAGGGTTGCCTTTGGGAGATCATCAGGAGCACAACATAATAAGTAGAACTGCAGGAGGGTTGGGAGAAAAAGAGCAATGGAAAAACAGCATGCAGTTTAACTTTGCCTGCCCTATAGAGGACCTTCTTATTTACTTGTAGTTTATTCTTGTACGTTTTGTTATACAAGTATTTTTTCTTTGATAATGGTGCTTTTGAAATGCAGCATGCACCATTACTGACTGCCAGGGGATAAGAAATCTTCATCATGATCAATCCAAAATAAAAAGAAAATCTGTCAGTGCCATATCTTGTTGTTTATGAGGCATGACACTCCTGCAGAGTGTTTCTAATTGTTCAGACATATTATTTTCACTTTAAGTGTCAGCTAGTTGTCATCACTTAAATGTTTGTAAGACTTTTCACCAGTTCCTTTGGTGTTTGTAGAACAGCAAAATACTCCTAGGCTCACTGTGAGAAAAGTTTGGCCTTTCAGAACAAAACCTCTCATTTAGACTATTTCAACATGTCCAAGCACTGCTCGTAAAGTAAGTTGGCTTTAGACATCCACTAGACCCCTCCCTTGCTTTTACTGTTGGACCCACTTGTGACTTCAGGCTTGCCTCTTAAAAGAGCAGGAGCTTTTTTGCAGTGTTCAAAGTTTTTGATATACATAATAAGCACTACATAGTCAAAATATGTTCCTTTTTATCTGCATTATTACCACATTTTTTATTAATGTAAATAATAACAATTACAAATGTTGACCATGTTCCAACTAATTTGTTGAGTTATTTTGGGTTAACAAAATATAATTATTATTTTCTTTGGTTTATCCTTGTGCTCATCATCTTTTCATCAGCTTTATCTGAGACCAATAGGGTGAGCAAATTCTGCAGAAACCCAGACTTCCCTCTCCTCATCATCTTTTCATCAGCTTTATCTGAGACCAATAGGGTGAGCAAATTCTGCAGAAACCCAGACTTCCCTCTCCTCAGACACGTCTTTCAGCTCTTCTGAGCAAAGCCCAAGGCATTACAGGGCTAGTCAATAATCATAGGCTCAATCCAAATACAGCAAACAGGTCACCGTAGTTTCTACCCCTGGCTTCTTTTTCTTCACCCTTCGTAGGGTCAACAGTAAGAACAGTTAGGATGATACCGGTCAAATTGGGACTACAGTCTTCTAAAAAAGAAACTACGAAAAAAACAAAGTTACACAAATCTAGCCATGGGATGAATCTTTTTATTATACAAACCAAGACATATAAACATTTTACTTTTGCCCATGTCACACACTGCACATATGAAGCAATTGTATGTTACTGTTCATTTCTATGAGGTAATCTGTGCCTTTATGTCATGTCATGCATAGGATTATTGGACTCCTTTTAGCTCCTTAGTTGCAGACATGAAATTCATATGGTTACTGTTAAACTAACTATGATATGAAATGTAGAGGGTCTTTTCCTACCTCCTTCCCTACTTAAAGCACTTTTCGGACTGACACACTTTAGTTTTGGCCAAAGAGTCCTTACTGGTTTGCTGTTTTAGTATCCAGCCGTATCTCCAGCATCCCATGGAAGACATCCAGAGGGCATCCAAACCAGTCTGAACTACTTTAGCCATCTGTATTGGTGTGGAGGAGAAGAGGTTCTATTTTGAGCCTCTCGTGGATGGACAAGCTCCTTTAAGGAAGTTCCTAAAGAAGCCCATTTAAACCATTTGTATCTGCAATCTCGTGCTTTCGTTCATGACCATAGGGTTAGAGCAGTAAGTAGGGCTTTAACAATTACTCGCAGTCACCTACAGTGTTGATTATGAAATATTGCACCAAAAGTTGTTACAAAATGTAATGTGTCAAAGCATTTATTGAGAATACATACAAATTGCACTATTTCCAGTAGTGCCATTTAACTGACATGCTGGTCAATACAGATGGAAGTATAGGAACAGTTAACCCTAAACAGCAACATACAGTATTACAGCTTCTCATCTTAATATAGAAACGCTCTGGCATTACATTCCGCCATCTTGCATCTGTCGATTCCTCTAGTTGCCTTTTAAGTTCCCTTTGGGGGAGAGGTGGCCTAGTAGATAGAGAAGTTTGCTTTTGCTCTCAGAAGGTTACAAAAAAAACGTTTCGATCCCTAAGCCTGCACTGTGGGTACCTGAGCAAGACCCTTAACCCCCTATTGCTCCTTAGCAGAGTGGCAGCCCACTACAGTACTCCCATTGTGAGATGCAAGTATTGGTTTTAAAGGATATTATTCCTGTCACACCTAGTTGTCTTCAGGTTTAACAGTTTTGGTTTTGATTAAGGTATTTAGATGGACTCATCTTTACAGATTATTACATCACCTTTGTATGTCATTTAAGGCATTGTTATTTTAATTCCTCTTGACAGTTTTGTTATTACTATGGCCAACAAGCTTAATGTTGGTCTTACTACAAAATCTTTTTCTGGAATTTACGATTCTCTCACTTTCTTTCATACACACACAAAGTCCCTGCATTTCTTTTTTCAAAGCTACACTTCTAATTAAATTGTACTTCAAAATATCTAGAATTAGAATGAAAAGAAGATGTAAGTTCACTTTTCTATTTTACACCTGTACGTTAAACACAAAAGCATTTCTGCGCGTATTTAGAAGTGAGAGGTCAATGCTACTGTGTACTCCGGAGAGAGATGCAATCTAGACAAAGCTGCCTTAAAGAGAGGGTGTAAATGGTGTATTTATTGAGGAACATTACATTTTCACGAAAAGGAGCCAGAGAACCATGAGTAATACATGAATGTTACTGTTTGAAATGTTCGCTGATACACAGCGTCTGAGTTGAGTAGAGAAAAAAAGTGTTGTTGTTAAAGTTGTGTTGTTAAAGTTGTGTTGTTAAAGTAAAGCACAGTGGATAACGATGTGAGCTTTAGATTACTGGTGCTGCAGTAGTTTTCAGTACAGTCTGATCTGTCATTATCCTCTGGATTATACTGTGGCTTTAAATTAGCTATTAAGTAATTATTGCTGGATATTCTGCTGCGTCATCTGTCCCTTAGGTACTGTACTATCAAATGGTACTTCAATAGACCTAACAGTGTGCCAGCTTTACTATGACCTTTCACTATCCATCCAGCCTGATGGGATAAACTCCACACCAGTACCGTCAGCTCCAGCTAAGTCTAGAGGCAAATATGCATGCTCTCAAACTCACAGGTGCTTGTTTTTAATTTTTTATTATTTTAATGTATGATAAACGACTGTGAGTTCTGCTTACCACCACCTGGTGACAGATCACAAAATTGTTCATTCCAGTTTATTTTTAGGGTTGTAAAAAATGTTTTTATAGTTTAATAGCCAATTATTGTTGAGGAGCCTTAGAATTATTGTTATATTAACTCTTTTTGACAAAAAGAGTATTTAATTTTATTCTAAAGACAATGTTGCATAAATAAAGAGATAATTTATCCCTCATGGCATGATAATAGACAGGCAGAGCAGAGATTAAAGTGTCTTGTCTACCATTTGATTTAATTACATTTTTTACAATGTTGTGCCCAGACCTATTTTCAAAGCATTTTTCTCAGTCAGAGGATAGCTCCAAAGCAGAATTATATAATTAGGACCACAATTGATTTAGAGTTGATGTAAAATGTATTGCATCATGGAGCATATAGGCTAATGTTTTTGTTTTTTGGAATTTGCTCTGATTTGCATATTAGACAAATAAAGGACTAATGATTTTTCGTGTCTAATGACTGGTGTACATGATGTAAGTCTTTGTTTCCTCTTTGTGGATTGGGGTGGGAAAAGGACAAGTCTTAACTGGTTTTGATAGAGTTAGTGCTAGATTAAAATTAAATGCTGCAATATACAGCTACAGTTCTTTAGAAAGGCAATTATTCCTTTAAAAATATTCCATAATTATATTCTGTTTTTTGTCAAACTTTGAAACTCTTTATCTAAAAGTAAATATATTAAACAAAGTATACCTGTGTGGAAGAAAATATCAGATTTCTATTATCTCTTTTGATTATGGATAAATAGTTTCCAAATCATGTGTTAATGTGTTTTTTTTTTAATCATTGTCCAGCTACGTAACATAATTGCATTTGAGCTTAAGGCCACAAATTCTTCAAAACAATCTTTAGACAGGCATAAGTTTATGCTATAACCTGAGAATGCAAGCAACTGACATAAAGCCAGGTTTTATTAATAACAACAACTACCTGCTATATAATTGGAAAATAGGGTTATTGTTTTGTCAGCCAACTCATAAATATTTTGCTAATTTTTTTTTTCTCTCAGTTATACCAGCAAAGTTGTCGGACATGGTCTGGATGCCCAGAAGCAAAACCCAGAGGTCAAAGTTCATGGCATGGATCATACATTGGCTGAGATCAAGAAAAGCCTGGAGCACTTCAACCAGGTAATAACATTTCGTTTAGGCACTTGAAAATCTTCTGTTTTTTTTCTACACAAATATAACCTTGTATGTCTCATTAAGCAATTGAGGAATGATTAAATGTCTGTTCTGAAAAAAAACTTATGGAAAAAAAAAAGAATACATAAATATATACCTGCTAAAGGCTAGTGAATTTCAGTTGTAGTACTGTAGGTAGCACAGCCAATCCTACAAGCCATTTTGGCGGGTTGGATTTTATTTACTTATAGTTGTAGTTTTCTTAAATGACATCCAAAATAATAAGAAAATAAATGTGAATCTGCAGCCTTCATCTATTAGAACCACCTGCTCACAGTGTTTGCTCATTGGTTCGTTCGTGATAAGTGTCAGTTCAGAAAGAAGATTCCTCTAGAGAATAAAGCCCAATTTATGCTTCTGATGCATAGCCTCTGCAACCGTCAAATCTGTCTCTGTGCATGACCACACCCCCCCTGCAGAGGTTCTGCACCCGTCGTCGCTCACCTCAAAAAAATCCTGGCTATGTGTCGGACGGTAGCAAACCCTTGCAGACCTCGAGCAGAAGTGCGCAGACAAACAGCAGCTATGATTGGTCCTTTGTATGGCTTTCCAGCTGTCTGTGTGGTCGTCCTTCTTGATTCGGTGCCTGGGCGCGCTCATTTTTAAAAACCGAGGAACAACTACAATGGACAACTGCGACAAAAGGTTAATCTGTCTTTTTGTCAACTCCATTAACAGAACCTGTTCCTCTTCGATGTCTAGCAACTCTAGATCCATCTTGTGACTGTGATAACCTGCAGACGCGCCATTGTTGTTTTGGAAGATAAACACTCCCCAAGTTCTCACGAGTTCCCCCTTGGTTCCCCCTTGCGCTTTGGCGGGAAACTGCTGTGTGTCCCTAGAAATTCCAGACCAATGGTGCAGAAGCATACCAGCAAAACTGGTACGCGACCAGACCCAAGAGACATTTGATGTGTGCGGCTCCAGAAGTATAATGATGGTAAAGATGGTAAAGCTATTACTGCATATTTAAAACTGCATTTTTGTTTATTTATTAAAAAAAAAACAATTACTAGTGAAAAATCTGGTGTCTTTTTCTGTCTTGTTGAAGACTTTGGTGAGGACACATGAAGCACAGATTGCTCAGATTTTAAGTCTTCTTCAGCAAAGAGTGAGGGAGCGAGCCCCTCCCTTCCTCAAAGCACTGAGAGGAAGCCAAACGCAGCTCTGCAGCCAATGCCTTTAGGCAGAGAAAGATGGAGTTCTCCTCTGTATTTCTTATTAAAAATTTGTTTCACATGCATAAAGCTTCCTTAACCCCACTCAAAAAATAAAAGTAAAATGTAAAAATAATATTTAGCTGTTGCATTAATAGGTCCCCCTTCATTTAATTCATGCACATCTTCATCCTCTGTTTGCATCTGCTGTTTTTAAGCCAAATTTTATATCATGAGATGGATAGATAGTTTTATATAGTTTTTGTTCAGGTTAAATATATTGAACGTTTAAAATTACTTTACAGAGTTAATCTTTAGTTTTAACCATATTGAAAGTGTGTTGAATCATTTTCTGTCTTTTCTCTCTCCCTCTGCTGTATCAAAGTATACCTGAACATGCACTTTACCAGTTAAGTTTCTACTTGTAAATTAATCCTCTACTTCCCTCATCACTTTTAAAATGCAATAAGAAAAAACATATTTTATTAGTTTGTAAAATGCATGTCTTTATAAAAAAGACACAAAATCTTATCAGAGCTGAATACTGATAATGATTGTGCACACACACACTCACACTTAAGGACAATTTAGAGATGCTTATTAACCCACCAGTGATGTTTTTGGAGAAAGCCGGAATACCCAGAGGGAACCCATGCATGCAGATGGAGAACTTACAAACTCAATTCTTGGAACAGAACCCAGAACCTTCTTGCTGCTTAAGGCAACAGTGCTACAAACCGTGCAGCCTCCAGCTTTTATTATATGAAATCTATTTTCCTATCAACAAAATTGTAAAACCCAGATTTTCAGTCTTAAATATTTTCTGTTCTTCCTTAAACATTTAGGACAGGGAAAATAAAGAAAGAAAGAAAGAAAGAAAGAAAGAAAGAAAGAAAGAAAGAAAGAAAGAAAGAAAGAAAGAAAGAAAGAAAGAAAGAAAGAAAGAAAGAAAGAAAGAAAGAAAGAAAGAAAGAAAGAAAGAAAGAAAGAAAGAAAGAAAGAAAGAAAGAAAGAAAGATTTTTTTGATTTTTAACACCACATTTATTTTTCAATAACAATACATTTTAACCTAGCTCAATACATCTTTCACACAAATATTGAACTGAAAACTAGCTCCTCATCAACCACAGAACACACAACATTATTAAAACACCACAACAACACAAAATCAATTAAGTTATTCATCATTGAAAAAAACATAAATTCTGCTTTTACTCTACTTTTTACCAACAAAATAAATATCTTATCCACTCTTTCCCCCTGACCACCATTGACTTTATTTTTCCTATCAACATAGATGGATAATTTTGCTTGTCCAATGAGAAAATTTAACAAATTCCACTTGCTCGACTCCTTTTTAGTGTAACCAGCACCAAAAATAAAAGCTATGTCAGACCAATAAACACCACATTTTTTAAAAACATTCTCTAATAACATAAACAATGGTGAGAGTCTCTTACACTCGAGAAACATGTGAAAAACGGTTTCTATCTCTTCACAAAAAGGACATAACTCACTCATATCTTTCCTGAATTTAACTACAAAACTGTTTACACCTATAGCACCGTGCAAAATCCTCCACTGAAGGTCCCCCACCCTCTTACTCAAGGGGGCCTTATAAAAAACTCTCCAGATTGGTTTCCGACTATCTCCGACTTTAAACTTGGCTCTCCAAACCGTATCAGTTCTTCCACTTAAATGTTTCTTTTTCAACCCTTGAACAACTAATTTATACAAACATTTTCCATTCAACATACAGAAATTAAAGTCTCTTTGAGTGATCAAAAGAGGACCCGTTAAATCCGAGAAATCAATGTTCAGTCCCATTTCTGGAAACGGATCTGTAGAATTAGGGAAGTCTTCTCCATTACTCAAGTCCTCCAGAAACTGTTTTTCACCCAGCGTCAGCTTTCCAAGCCACTGGTCCAAAATAGTTCTCATAACTCGGATCGACTTTAAACCAAGCAGATGAGCCGTCGCTTCTGTGTTTTTAAGTCCTGGTCCAGCCGTCTTCACAACGTGTCCAAATTTTAAAACTTTATTCTGAAGCAGTCTTCTTGACACTCCAAATCCATCCTCTAGCGCCAAACGAGCTTCGAAAATTAAAGGTTCCTCTAGAAGCCAAAACAAGGATGCAGTTGGTTCAAGTCTTTTCCATTCGAAAAGTGTCCAAGCTCTAAACAAACTTTTATAAAACACCGGCATTTCATACAGAAATAATGACTTACAATTTAACAAAAACAGAGAAGCATCTAAACCAAAGCTTCCAATTCTCCTCAGAATAATACTTGTTATTGGCTTCCACAAAACATCCTCCTCCCTTCCCATTAGATATTTTTGAATAAACTGCAACCTGAACGCAGCAGTTCTGCTTTCCAGGTGAACTAAACCTTGTCCACCCTCCTCCTTAGGTAAGAAAAGCACGGCTTGGGGCACCCAATGTTTATCATCCCAAAAAAACGTAATCATACAAGACTGAATTTTGTTCAGCAATCCAGCAGGCGGTTCTAAACAAGCTAACTTGTGCCACAATAAAGAAGCAATTAAATTATTTAAAATTAGCACTCTTCCTCTATAAGAAATCTGCCGTAGCAGCCATCTCCATTTTGATAACCTTTCTTCCACTTTTTCCATCACTCCCTCCCAGTTATTTTTTCTGTATCTTCATCCCCCAAATGTACCCCAAGGTACTTTAAACCCCCTCTTCTCCATTTTAAACCACCTGGAAGTCGAGGAAGCCCACTAAGCCAGCTTCCTATTGCTAGAGCCTCACTTTTCGCCCAGTTGACACGAGCAGAGGACAACTTACAAAATGACTCAACAATTCTACTTAAATTATTCACTTCTTCTTGATTTTTAACCATGATAATGACATCATCAGCATACGCTGATAAAGTAAAAGACACATTACAACTAGGAAACACCAGCCCCTCAAAGTTTAACCTAATTTTTCTTAACAGTGGTTCAATAGACAAAGCATATAACATTCCAGACAAGGAACAACCTTGTCGAATACCTCTTGTAACTTCAAAAGGCTTACATAAGCAACCATTAATTTTCAGTACACTCTCAATGTTTTCGTATAAAACCATAATCTTGGCAATAAAACCGAAGTCGAGACCGAACCTTTCCAGCACTTTCCATAGGTATCGATGCTCGACTCTGTCAAAAGCCTTTTCCTGGTCTAAAGAAACTAAACCAGCATTATATCCCAAAAAACTGGAGACGTCCAAAATATCCCTAACAAGGGAAATATTATCAAACATTGATCTGCCAGGGACACAGTAAGTTTGTGTTTGATGAACCACCTGATCCATCACCTTCTTCAGTCTGTTTGCCAGCACCTTTGACAACAATTTATAGTCCGTACACAACAGAGAAACAGGTCGCCAGTTTTTAATCTCCTGAAGATCACCTTTCTTTGGTAGCAGTGTAAGAACTGCTCTCCTGCAGCTCTGAGGTAAAGAACCTACAGCAAAACTCTCTTCAAAGACCTCCAAAAGATCGATACAGAGGACAGACCAGAACGCTCTGTAGAATTCACTGGGAAGTCCATCGATGCCTGGTGCTTTCCCTCCGTCCATACTTCGCAGGGCAGCATGAATCTCCTCCAGCGTCATGGGTTCTCCCAACTCCTTAGCAACATCTTCAGAGACCCTTGGGAGATCACTGCAAAAGTCATTGAAATTATCGTCGTCTTCAACGTATTCAGAGCTGTATAGATCCGCATAGAACTCTGCAGCTCTCTTCCTGATGTCACCATCAGTAGTCAGAAGAACATCCTCAGA